GCTAGCAAGCTAATCAAAGCTAGCAAATGTACTCGAATGCCGAAGCTGCTCTGTCTCCCTTATATTGAATGATCCGCACCCAAATCATCCATCTGCAATTTATTATTCACTTAAAAATTTTTTTATAAACTTGAATCGTTTTACCAGTTTTATATGCCAAATAAATCTTCATATAATAGGTTAAACCGGTAAAAAGTTCTAGTGTAAATGCCGTTTGACGCAAGTTTCTCTTTTAAGACAATTTACTTAATTTAGATATATAATAATTTTCATAAATACAGCAATATTTTATAAATCAATTGTAATTAAATTTAACATTTCAAAATTCGTGGAGAGAAAAAATTCTGAATTTTAGAAAAGTTCAGTATTTGAATAATATTTGAAAACCGAACAACCTGTTGCACGTCTTTACAAGAAGTTGACTTTACAACAAGTATAAAACCAGTGTATTGGTTTAAATGGCCAGACAATTTGTAATCAATTGTTTGCTATAGCCTACTTTGTAATATATCTACTGATTATTTCTTCGTATATGCGTTACAAAAAAAAATGACACAACTCAACAGACATATCTGAATTAGGGTTGGATTAACATTTTAAAGGATATAAAAATATATTAATAACATCTGGATAAACACCCAAAATATGGATTCTAGAATTGGGAACTATTAATTTACATTCAATGCTATATTGGATTACAGTTTCCTCAAGTCAGCAGCATTTTACTATAAAATAATTTAATCGAAGGCTAAACAAAATTTCGGATGAAACTAAAATTAATTCATTTGGCGGCCCGTTAACACTTCTTTGCATAGTGTTGAAAATTTCCATCATACCAATGACTGCCAATCAAATTATTTTAAAAGTATTAATTAATAAATAAATATTTTAAATAATAATAAGTAAATAAATATACTATATTTTAAAAATGTTTTCAAAATAAAAACGTAACTGCGTTATGAAAATTTAAAACAAAATTAAAGAAAGGGTTCTAAAACATGTTCCTGGTATTTTGAAATCGATTTTTAAACAAGTTTGAGTTCAAGGTTTATTCACAAGGTTAACAGGGAGGCGAATTCAAAGTCTTCATTGACTGTCAAATTTATATAAACAAAACATATTTTTATTCGAACCAAAATATACGTGCACATTACTATCATTACGTTTTTTGAAAGATATTTTGCACAGATACGTGCACATTACTATCATTACGTTTTTTGAAAGATATTTTGAGTTTTTATCCTGTTCTTGTTTGTATTTAACGATTAAAATGTTGACAGCAAGAGAAGACTAAGCTATGCATTCGCCTCCCTGTTAACCTTATGAATAAACATTATTTGAGTTTAAGGGGACCCCCCCCCCCCCCATTCTTGGTGTCAAAAATTTCATAGTGTTTTTAAGTAAAATATTCTGAAAAAATACAATTCCAATACAAAAGTGATTTCATTCCGAAAAAAATTAACATATACAAATCCTTTATTTGCTAATTGTAAAAAATTGTTTTATTGTTGTTTAAGTCAATGGCCAAACTCTAAATAAATAAACTTAAAATTGTCGGTTTAGGACGCATTTTTTCGGTGTTTGTAATACCAATCACAACATTGCAACGTAAATGTTAGAAATATCTCAACCAACAAACATTATGTGAGTAGACAAAAATTTGAAGCAACCACAGCTAGCGAATACACCAAACAAAATGTATGTATGAAATTAAAGTTGCAAATAACCAGTTCATTTACATTTCCGTAAATTAACGCATTTTTTATTAAATATTCAAAAACTAAAAAGTCAACATTTTGGATCATGACCATGAATAATAAGTTGTAATTTTAGGAGAACTAGTCTAGTATAGTTCAAAATCTAAATATGTACATACATACATATAAGAGATTATATTTAATTTGAGATAATTGATAATTTAAGCAATTTCATAAGATCTATGTTGACAATACTTGATAGATAAATCGGTTTTTCAATTCAACAATTGCCATTAATTGAAGACTATATTATGGTATGGTTGTTACCCACACTACTACCACAAATTTAGATCACTAATTAATTTTCACACAACACTTTGTTTTAATGGATGTTACACCCGTTGTAATGATGACCCGGCCGACCACTTGTTACACTCAAAGTCAATGCTAATGAATCTCGGCCAAAAACAGAACTTTTTCGATCGATAACACAGTTTTGTTGTTATTGTTGCTTGAATGGCTCACTGAATAAAATGAAAGAAATTTTCTGCACTCACACACGCACGCATTAATCATTTGCAATTTCTGTAAAGTTTATTATGTAAATAAACCACAACAACAACGGCTACACAAAATTAAATCTATATAAAATAAGAAAAAACTATTTTCATTTTATACACTCATTGCAAATGCGTTGTCTGTCTGTCGTTGCATCACACCAAGTAATAGATGATGAAGACAAAAAAGAAACGTAATTTCATTTTCATCAATTTTATAAATTGCCAAACAATTTTCATTTAATAAACCGCAAAGATGTTTTTTATTTTGTTGGAAAATTGTCTCTCTGTGGGAAACCATGTGTATGAGGAAACATTATTCTTGCATGGGCGAGTGTTTTTTTAGTCAATGTTCACGTTCGTCGGAGTATGTGTGGACATTTGTAAAAAGACAACGTACTTTTTTCCTTTCACTTTGTTTTGAACTAGAAACACACTTCGAACTAACCCGCACACACAACTTTTCCCGTTGAAATACAGCTGACGACTATTAAAATTGGGAGAAATGAATTCTTTCATTTGCCACCAATGCTATTCGATTCGTGTCGTCGTGATGATAATGATGATGGACAAAAAACGTGTCTCTCTGGTTTGGAGCTCGCTTACATTTCTCGTAACCTCCATCATTTAATGAGAATATGTATTTACATTGGGTAGGGAGAGATTTGCCGGTAGATCGTTAATGATCATCACAACGCAGCGTATTTGCCTTTGTTTACTCTCGTTGGTTTTATTCCAATACGAGCACAGCACAGTGGTTTTATTTTGTAAATAGTATATGAATTTTATAAAAGAAATTGGTCTATTCCCGTACTCCAATAACCTACTACATTTTACTACTATAGGGTCTGTTCCCGTACTGCAAGATTCTACTAGTTTTTACTCTTTAGACCATTTATATCTTTATATCACAAATTTCAATTTAGTTACATTTAGACCAAGTTGTATTTAATAAGGTGTATGCATTAGCTACAACAACGAACATTTTACAAAAACAACTTTGTTGTAATAGAAATAAAATTGTCATGCTGACAATTAGTTTATGTTGTGAAGAAGCAAAAACAAGTAAATAATTTTGACAAAAGCTGTGCAATTAAAGAAACATTATATCGAAAATAAAAAAAATAATTGCCTTAAAAATGTCCATCCTGGTCGGAAACGCCGTTATTTTTATATTGCCGAAGTCCGTACTACCCGAAAATCGGATTCCAAAGCTGCCCCTCCAAATATAAAATTGAGGTGATTATCCGGATCTAGGGGACAACTTCACTTGGAACATACCCATCTAAATATAAAGTTGAGGTGGTTTGGTGGATCTCGGTAAACAACTTCACCATCGACAGATTCTAATGCAAGATACTTCTACATATTGCTTTCTAATCCTGAAGAAATATAAGTGGGTGGCAAACATTCACTGCAATGTCAGATTTTCGTCTACGCAACAAATCTCTTTTTATGTAGATGGTTTTGTCGGTGGTTAGCATTGAGCTAAATTCTTGTCAAAATTCCCAAAAATTCCCAAATCCAAAGAAATTCATTTTTTATATGAAGTGTAGGACTTTGTTTAACATTCTTCGGAATGTCCTATTTGGACACGGTTTTGTTGCAAAATTTGTTGCCATTTTAAAGGGCTAAGCAGAATTCTTAGGCATTATGAAAGTAACTTCATAATGCCTCTCTCATACAAGTCCTCCATAGATAACTATATTTTATCATTAAAGAAATTTTTCAATGCAATAATGTATGACGGTTTAAAACAGTTTTATGTTGGCCTACTTGTTCGAGGTGCATCTTTAACATCAAAAATTCCTGAACGGAATCTACGAAACCAAAATTGCACATAATTGGCTGTTACAGTATCGGAAACTAAAAGACCATTCGCAATTTTTGCAGCTTGGCTTGCATTTTCGCCTTTGCCAAAGAAAAACTATAAAATTTACCGAATTTTCTCTTTGTTCACAAAAGTCGGTGTTCGCGCAGAAAATTTTGTATGGGTCGAACAACGAATGAGAGAGGGAACAACGCCCATGGCATTAGCAATCAAATTTTGCAATTTATAATTTGATTTTTTTAAATTATAATTCAAAATATTTTTAATACCAATTCTCATTATTAAATTCAAATTTTTAATAGAAAAATTCAAATTAGAACATTTTCGAATTATAAAATACAATACAATTTTTATAGCCTATTTTCAGGCAGTCAATATATGTATAATATGCTAGAAGACTCATGTTTTATTTTTTTCCTAACCGAATCACTTTATCGAAATGAAACATTATTTCCGAATTGTCTTTATTATCGGAAGCTTGTTATCAACGCTTCTACGTTTTGAAGAATTTTACAACCCCATTTACGTCTTTTAACGACTAATTCAAAATCGACTTCATATTTTTATATTAATTGCTGCCAACAGATAACTTGGTTATAACAAAACCTAGTATTTATGAAGAAAATCGAAAGTATATTTTTCAAAGTCGACTTTGCGATTTCCTCAAAGATCAAACGTCGACTTCGACATTTAAACTTTTTCAAACCAAAAGATTAGTTAATCGATAAGTCAAAAATCGATTTACTTATCCCTAGTCATTACTGTCATACGAAAAAGGGCAACTCTGCAAATAAAAACTCATTTTTATATGTGTGATGTGGCGAACGAAAAAGAAAAATTTATAATTTTACACGAGAGAAATAGAAAAGTATAGTGAATAATATTAATATTATTATTGTCTGTAGCAGTTAAATTTGCTGATAAACGAGAAACGAAAAACGCAATGCAAAATGTGGAAAACCAAAGCACCAACAACGAATTTATTAGCACTGACGTTAGTATTTACCCTAGTTTTTTGGGACACAGCCTATGGACTTTCAGACAAACGGTTGTGTGCCGATGAGAAATGTAAAGGTAAGTGAAAGGGGTTTACCTTGGTATCTCACTTACGTGGTGCCCAAATAATAGAGCTAACTTTCTTGTTTTGTTTTTTGTTTTTCGTTTTTTCTAGAAATCATATCTTTGGGCAAGGGGAAAATTAACTATCGGGCGGGAGAGGAGGGCATGGTCTCATTTAAAATCAATTCCCCCATTCGAATTAAGTCGAAGAGCGCTGGGTCCAATCCATCTCTGTGGGGAGTAGAGGTAAATGGCCGTGAAGGATATGCACCCAAAGAGTACATCAGGGAGGAACGTATCTTAATAAGAGAAAAGGATCTAAAACATATTGTGGATGTAGTAAAGCCCGGTAGTCAAGAGCCTGCCGTTCCTCCTACTCCCTTACCCGCTGCATCTGAAAATAACGTGGAAACTGCAACTCCTACTACTCCTTTAAATGACGTGGTTGTCAATTCCCAAGAGGAAAATAACGTGGAAACTGCAACTCCTACTACTCCTTTAAATGTCGCGGTTGTCAATACTCAAGCGGAACCTATCAATAACAGTCCTGTAGACAAGAGTGCCGAGTTGCCATTACAAACTGCAACACCTGTTCAGGATGATGTACTTATTGTGGATGGAACAAGAATTCCCACATTAAATGATAACCATCAAGAAAATCATACAATGGGTTCCACGCTTCCTATGTCCGAGGATGACGATGAAGAAGATGATGGCGAAATTGGTGATTATGATGAAGACGAAGAACTCGAAGAAGATGATGAGCATAGCAAGGAAACATTGACCAAACAACCCATGGAACCAGTTCCATTCAAGTCCAATGTAGAAACAAATGAATTTAAGCAAGCAGAAACAACGGAAACTACTACCCCAGAAAATACTACCACAAAGACTGATGAGGCTCCCAACACTGTTGCTGATAATCTATCGGAGACTACAACAATTTCTCCAAGTACTGAGGGTGATGTAGTTACGTCTAGCACTGAACAACCGGAAATTGTGACTGAGTTGAATGAAGCCTCAACTGAGCAAAGTGTTGAAAATGTGGACCAAAATGATTCTAATGCCCAACAAGAACCTGCAGTGGAAGTCACTTCTACTCCCACAGATGATGTAAAATCAGAGGAATATAAGCAACAAGAAGTTCCTATCGAAGAGCAAAATCAAGATAGTTTAAAACAAGAGATTACCTCTGAGACTGGTACCATCAACTCCACCACTGAAGCCTTAAATACTGCCAACAATGAGGAAGAAATTCTCAACACAATCAACATATCTACTGAACAAAGTCTTCCTGAGAGCACAACACCTGAAACCACATCAAATGTAGTCAGCTCAACAGAAGGCGAGCAAAATTCCAGTGAGCAACCTGTAAGTGAGCAAGTGGTACAAAGTGATTTACCAATGGAATTGCCAATTGAAAATACACTCAATACACAGGAAGGAACAGTACAAACAGATATACCTACATCCCCAGACCAACCTCCCGCAATTCCCACAGCAAATATTCGAAATGAAATTGAATCTCCCATAGTATCCACAAACCTTGATTCACAGACTGAAATTCCTATGTCTAGTACAGAAATACCCCCTGTTTACAGTGATCCATATCAACAACCAGAGTTGAAACCAACTGAAGCACCTGTGCTTAGTACCGAAATTCCCCCTGTCTATAGCGATTCCCATCAACAGCAAAATACTTTCGATTATGTTAATCCCACACAATATAATCCTTACGTTGAATCATCCAACACACCATTACCACCTCAATACGATTACCATCAAGTCACAACTGAGTCATCATTGCCTACTGAAACTCCATATTATGATTATTACGGACAGCAGCAATCTACGGGATATGAAGGCGAAACAACAACAACAATCAAACCTGAGATAACGATTAACGACACTCCCATAGTTAGCGAACCGGAGATTACTACAATTAAACCTCAATCTGTTGACAATTCTTATTATAATGATGTTCCACAAGGTCAGGGTTATGTTGAACCTCTTCAACCCCTAGTAACGCCGGAACCACCCAAATCAACGGAAGAAGAGCCAAAATCATTGCCATCACTTACACCAGCCCATCATCATGACGATCACATTGATAAGAAGGATAAAGGTTTATTTGCCACCATAATGGATACCGTAAATAATATATTACCTAACAGCAAGAAACCCAAATATCCAGCTGAAGATGACAATGAGTTAAATAGAATATTGTATCCGGATATGGGTGGCAAACATCCAGCATCACTACACCAAACTAACGAAGGTATGTTTCCCTTTACAAATTCAATTATTATACATGTATAAAAAATTCTTCTATGATTAGTGAAGAATAGATTGTTTCTGAGGTTTTTGTTGTGGATAATTCTGATAATGACACATAGATCCGATTATAGACAATCAATATGAATATGAAAAGTTTACTTAATAAATAAATTTCATAATGAGGCATCGTCACTCACAACTTTCTTATCGCTGTTTTAGAGGTTTTTGGCCTACTTCTTATCTTTTCCAAAACAATTGTGGTTTCATTAAGTATCACATTTATATACAAATGCTCTGTCAATGTTTAATTCTATTTACATATTTATATATTATTGCTAAATTTTCTTTTATTTGTCTTGCAGATGGAAGTTTCTGTGAAAAATTGGGCCCCAATGATTGCCCTCATTCGACACAAAACACCGTTAAGCACCATTCAGAAGAAGAATGTACTTGTTCGCTGAAGTCTTTCATAACCACCGAATTCACACTGGAAACCTTTGTCCAAGCTTTGGCATCTAAGGTCTTGGAAATCAGTGATTTATTGGCATTCTTAGCCATAGTTGCTGCAACCACCCTATTCTTTGTTTTTGGTTATTATTGTTTCTGCAATAGCAGCAGTGAGGGTGCTTTACTTTCGAAACTCAATCAATTGGAGAGTAGTTTATTGGCTTCCCACAAAGAAAATGCTATTCTTAAGCATAACTTAATGTCGACCCGACAGAAGCTGTCCAGCATTGAGGATAATTCTTTCGGTTCGAATGATATGGTGTTGTCGATTAAAAAGGAATTAGAGGAAGAATTAGTGGAAAAGGCTAGATTGCAAGAACAAATAACATCATTGCAAAAGGAATTAGAAGCTGCTGCCGATGCTGGCATTGAGTTGAATAAAATCGTTTCGGAATTATTAAGTAACCAGACTGGAGACGAAAGCATCATAAGTAGTGTCGAAGAATTACAAAAACAATTGAACGAACAGCAAAGTAAGTGATAGAGTGGACAATTTAAAACTTTTACTAATCAGAGCCATCTATTTATAGATACTATTTTGGAGATTAATGCCAGCTTGGCCGAAAAGAGCCGTGAAAATAGCGAATTACAGCTATTGATTGCCGAACAAAATGCTCGCTACGAATCGCAAATTTCTAATCTTCAAAGGGACAATGATGAGTTGGAAGCTGAAAAGGGTAGTCTTATCACTCGATTGGATGAAGTTAAAAATGATTTTGACAAGGATATCACCGCTGCATTGGAGGGAAAGAATTTCGAAATAAAACGCCTACAAAACGAAATTGTAGATTTAAGTGGTAAGCTGGAAGCGGAGCATACTAAATGGCAGACTAGTCTGGCTAAGGTGGAGGTAAGATTGTCAAATGAGTACACTAAAGACATTTAATAATAACACAACAAATATTTAGGCCTTAGAAGAGTGTCTGAAGAATGTGAAAAAGGATCCCAATGTAAATATAACCCAAGTTATAGATGTGGCCAATATCAGAGCAGAACTTTTGGACGCCCAAAAGAAATATGCCACCCTAAAGGAACGTTTGGAACTAGAACTGGTAATACAATAAATTGAAATATATTAGCAACGTTGTAAGAGTTAACTTCATTTCGTAGGATGCCCGAAAAGTATGTGAAAATCAATTGCAAGTGGCAACAGCTGAAGTGGAAAAACTGAAACAAGACTTCAACCAATCGGAAAAAGACAAGTTGGAAGCTCAAACTCGTCTAGAAGTATTATCCAATTACTTCAAGGAAAAGGAGACCCAGTTACAAAAGTATGAATCCACCCAAAGACATTTAAACCAAATAAATAAAAACTTTTTTTTTGTTTACAACTTTAGAGAGTTGAGCCTAAAGGAAACCATGTGGTTGCAGCAACAAGGTGAAACCAGTACAACTGTGGAACGTTTAACGGCTATGCAAGAGGAAATACAATCATTGAAGTAAATTGTTTTAAAATTTCGTTAAATCCGTTCAATGTTCTCAAAGCCCATTGTATTTTTGTTTAGATCTCAAAATGATGCTTTGCGTGCTGAGATTGAAGCTCAAGTAGCTGCACACAAGGCCCAAACAGGCACACTAGAAAATCGTGCCCATGAGACATGGTTGGCAGCACGCCAATCGGACAGACGCTATGAAGAAGCCAGGGCGGAAGCCACAGCTTTACGTAGAAAATTAACAGCATTAGCTGGTGGCAATGTTAATGAAGCCAATAGTAAGTCAATACCGCATTTGGCTGAATTCACGGCAGTATGATTGTTTTATTCCTTTTCTCTTCTAGAACCTTCAGCTGGTCCTGCAGGCCTGGGCGATGATTTAGCAAATGCCCCATCACCCATACATATGGAGTCTCCTGGCTCCCCCATGTTAGGCAGAATGCCACCACCACCATTCCTACCGCCACCATTTATGGGACCACCTCCACCATTTATGGGTATGCCACCACCACCTCCTTTTGTGCCACCAGGTGAGATGCGTCCAGCACCATTGGGACGTATCATGTCACCGCCGCCACCACAACGCTCAAGTCTAATGGACTACGATGACTATCTGGATTACGAAAGTAACAATTCGTGGCATCGGCATCACACATATTCACCACCACCACGAACATATCGATCACTCTCACCCACAGATAGCCGCTACAACTATGGCACAGAACGCGATCTTATGTCCACCTATGACACAGAAACCGATTTCAGCCCACCACCCAGTCCTCGGGAATCAAGAAGGCGGGCTGGTTATGACAGTGACAAGGGTGGCAGTAGACATCCATACAATAATTCTAAGAAATCGTCTTCAGGCCATAAAGGTAAATTACCTAATGGGCAATTAATTTCTATGCAAATTTTATCTGATAGTTTATTCAATTTTCAGGTAATATCAGTTCCGGTTCCGACAAATCCTACAATTCCTCATCCAAAAAAGGTGGCAACAAATCAAAGTCCAGCGGAGGAGGTGGTGGGGGTGGTAAATCGCTAGTATGATTTGTTCTTAAACTCCCTTCCACGTTAGAGGAAATAAAGCCCCCACATAAAACATTTCCGTTAAAAATGCATTAAGCCTAAGAGAGCGAGCGAGTCTGAGAATGATGAATGTTAGTGAGCGTCTTTACTACGACGTATGTGTGCCGTGTCTGCTGTCGACTTTTTTTGTTAATTGTGTAGTTAAATTTAATTTTTTAAAATTTACTCAAAAATAAGAAGCAGAGAATGAATGAAAACATTCTTAACTTAATGATACTTACTAAGAAGAATAACCTACAAAAATAACTAATACAACAACAAGCCAAATTATAAAAGCAAGTTATAATGAATTCATAAGGAGAATGAAGAAACAAAAGGAGAAAAAAATAGAAAAAACACAAACAAAAGAAAAAAATTGACGTTTTAATACAACTATTTATAATCAAAATACATATAAAGCAATCAAGATTCAAGATTTCCAACAGTTCTTCAATCAACACATTCAAGAATACATAATCAAGATATCCTGCACTTGTTTCACTTTAATTACATCAATCAAAATTCATACAATGCATTCAAGGTTCAAGATTTCAAACAGTTCTTCAATCAACAAATTCAAGAACACATAAGCAAGATATCCTGAAAAGGTAAGTGGATTGATTTTGATAATGTGTTTGTAGATTGTATACAGAAAGAGTTGTGAACTGTTATTTGAGTCTATTTGTTTTTCTACCAAACCAAGTTCTTCGTAGGTGCGTATCCAATGATGTTTGGGTGTATTCATCATTCAACGGTATTAGCCTTACTTCTGTTTGTGTTGACTTGCAACTAAATAATTTAAAATGTAAAGTTTTTTTTCAGAACAAAATTCCATATAGAATTTTTACCTCTTATCGATAATTTTGATTCCTCTAGTTGCACTCAATTTCGGGATCATTTTGTGTCGATTTCGCATTTCTTTTGTTCTGCTTCTGATGTTATAATATATGCATACTTCATATGGAATAATATTATAAATCATTTTATACATACCTCCAACTAGAATTCAGATGCAGTTTTTTAAAAAGCATTGCTTTTTCGGTTAACTGGTTTAATAATTTCGAATTATTACTTAACAAATTGTTTTGATTTATAATTAGTTCACCCAATTCATTTAGAATAAATATGATTAGTTCCTGTTCTGATGATTTTACGTTCGAATTTTGTAGAGGAATACTAGGTGATTTATTAAAGTCATCCCCAATGTTATAAACTTGGGTGCTAGTAGAAGCTGTTTCGACCTCATCTGTTTGTATGGCCAGAGATATTGTTCGACATTTACATTGAATGTCACATGTGGTGGTTTGTAACTCAGTTTGATTAGAGCTTGATAAGAAATACCGTACTTTGGGTAAGGGTCTTGGAACGGAGATAGATTTTCGCCTATTATACGCCAAAGTTTGTTGTCCTGATGTTTTGTAAACTATTCTATCCGTTTCAGTGGTAACATTTACCGTTTTAACTCGTTTTTGGGCTGTAGTTTGTGTTGCAATATTGATTTTAGAATTTACGCCTTCCATTTCTGTTCCTCTAGAAACCATGGTGTTTATATCCATTTGGTTGTCTATGTTAATTTGTTCGATTTTACTACGTTGCAGTACAATTTTTCGAATTTTATTTGCATTTGTGAATTCTTTTAACGATTCTTCGATTATTTTTCTTGTTAAATATGATTTGACTTTGTTTTTGTAATTTTTATAGATTTTTTGTCGTCGTCTGATTCTCTGTTTTAATGTTGGCCGTTTTCGTAGATTCCTTCTTATCTTTGTTATTTTTAAATATTTTCCATTTAATTGATACTGTACGGAATAGCTGAAATGGAAAAAAGAGAGTAACGAAGTGGTCAAATTATGGTCCATATTGTTGCGACACATACCAATTATTCTCAATAAATAGACGATGGCATGAACTAATGGGTTTTATTGATGATAATCCCTTTAGAAGTAACGTTTTTATATCCATATTTATATTAATTACAAAAGGCTTTTTGACAATACGGAAATAACAGCCTGTTTTTGTAAAATTCTAAACGAACGAATTCGAGTGACTACGACCAAACCTTTGTTTATGTAAACAAATATTTTTTGATTCAAAACAAAAAAAAAATGACATATTTTTCAAAACCAAGGAGTTTGGTCGTAAGTCACTCGAATTCGTTCGTTTAGAATTTTACAAAAACAGGCTGTAAGTATTAAACTTTTTTTAATTAATGTAATAGAATGAAATTTACAGGGTAAACCAAGGTATATTAATAAGGTAACCGTATCAATTCGCCGTAGGAAAATACAAATTTCAAACAAAAATGTAATAAAATTGTTTTGAAATCAATTTTATGAAATATTTAACAACTTGTGAGCAATGCGGTATATTCGGACGATCGGTCAATAGGTCTTAAATATTCTATGGAGCTTAACCCTGATTGTGCAAAAATCCCGCGACAATTATCTAATATTTGATTTTCTTACAACCGCAACAAGATTCGAGTATTTGGAATAAGCAAACATTTTATATATACCATAAAGGACCAAATATATCCACATATTAGATACGGTTTTAGAAGAAAAATATCTTCTTTCATACGTTGCCAATTTTTCCGAACTATGACTTCCCCGAGTCATAAAATGAAGTATTGGTTATTATTCACACAAAATCTAACATATCATGTTTAGTGTCCATTATTAAAACATCCATGCTTATTGGTTACCCGGTTCCGCTTCAAATGTAACATTTTATGGATTTCGAGTCATAATTTTGTCCCCAAGAGTAATCAAACCTTTCATTACCATAAACTATGGGTGCTGTGTTTTACCAGAACCGAACCTAAATGCGAAATATCAGGACAATTGGTTCATAACTGCGGACACAAGTATGATGAACTGGCACAAAAGACTGATTGATTCAGCCAATTCACCAATCTACTAATCCCTTATACGAAAGGGTGGGTATAGGGCTAACATATCGAGGCGTTATAAACACATTTTCAGCGTGGACCACATATTGAAATCACTCCACCGCTATTTTATTCCATTTACAAATACGGATTTTAATTTTAATGATTTCAAAAAAAAATATATATATATATATGTATATAAGTAAAATAATATTTTTTGATACTTCAAAATTGTGTGATCTGATTGGTAGAAAACAATTTGCTTCAAAATTGATATGTCAAAGCGAATTAATTTAAAATCGCTTTGTTTGCCGTTTTGACATATCATGTTCCCAATTCGCCGATGCGGCTACTTTATATATCTACCTTGGGGTAAACCAAAATACTGAACGTTTTCAGTATATGGAGCCTTGATATGAAAAATGACAAAGGGGAAGAAATAAAAAAGTGAATCGTAAAGATCAGCAGCTTAAAAGTTACTTAAAAAAGTTGCATTTGTAAACCCGGAGTTTCTGGAAAAAATACTCAGTAAAGGGCCCCATACTAGCTCGATCTTCCAGAGAAATCTTAATTCCAAATTTCAACTAAAATGTAGTACCATATAGTACTTTCCGTACTAATATGTACGAATTTCCTAAACTACCTCAATACTACACACCAACAGTAATTTTAATTCCCAATTTAAAGACTCCAGCTATATCTGTTCACCTAAATCCAAAATGCATCAAATTTAGTACCATTTAGTACTTTTCGTACACATAAGTACAATTTGTTAATGCTAACTCAAAATTGTACTCCAATAATTCTTATTTCAGGATAGTATAGTACCGTTTCGTACTTTTTATACACATAAGTACGAATTGCTTAAAACCATATCCATACATCAACATTACTTTCCAACATGTAATATATATAAAATTTCAAGGTTCTAGCTATATATGTTCAATATATATACAATTTGACCTAAATTTAGTAAAGTTTAGTACTTTTAGTACACCTATAGGTCGAATTTCCAAATGAAACATTTACATCTTTCTAACTTTCCATCTGTGACACACATTCTAAATTTCAGAATTCTAGCTCTTCCCGTTCGCCTAATACAAAGTGTACCATATTTAGTACTTTTCGTACCCTTCTAGGTTCAATTTCTAAAACCCAGCCTTACACACCAACAACAACCTACACTCAAAATTTTTTGCCACACACACATACACAAACTGGTTCATAACCATGAAAGCATGATGTATAGTGTGTGGGACCCTTAATATTTGTCCTGATTTAGATTTGTAGGAGATAGGATTAAGGATTCCCAATCCTCTAAAACGTATCACCTACCATATCTACATAATTGAGACAATTTAAGTTCCAGGATATTGTTAACTAATCTATAATTGATTTTGAAAATGCAAATAGATATTTTTTAATTTTTGCAAAAACATTTATTTACGATATAAAACATAAATTCTCAATAATAAAACATTTTACCTAATTCTTAAAAACAAAATACATAAAAAGTGTTTCTGTTGTACAATTGAAATACGTTTCTATTTTTTCTGTAGCTTCTTCTTATTTCTATATTATACAAAATGCATTAAAAAGTATTTTGAATTTTTCATATTGGTTTTTACAACATAGTTACATACGTAGGGTGTTTGTATTGTTTAGATGACAAGCTAACTAAGAACTATGAACAACTTTGTAGAACTTACATAGATACATACATACAGATACAAATATACTGAAGGAATTCGAGGAGATTCATAAACTATAGATATTTTTATTTACAACAAAAACGATATGATATAATTTAAATGATATAGAACCTTCAAATAGGAGGAGGATACAAATGCTAAATAGTTTACAATATCAAAAATATTTAAACTTAATTTTATTAGAATACAGTTTTTATGCAGAAGTTTTATTGCATTTATAAAAGAGTAATAGACATACAATATTGTATACATATTGTTTTAATATAGGCAAATAGGATAAAATAAATGGTAATGGGAAGGTGAGAATATTCTGAGCTTTGAAATATTTGTCGGACCAAAAACAAATTTACTTGATGTAAAGATTAGATTTCGATTGTTTTGAGATAAAGTGTTTAATTGTTTTACTTTTATTGAAATATTATAATAATAATGATTTTTCAGATGTTTCAAAAAGCAATATATTACCTGCACTTGTGTTTACTGGTGATTATGTGGTGCAATCGCGCATATTATTTGATTTCCCTCACAATGAACATGGAATAACAATTACAGCACTCTTGGTTTTCTTCATATAAACTAAAATATATTTCCGCTGAATGTTAGGTTGTTGCCGGACACTCTCTACTAGGTGATGCTTCAAAAGGACTTAGTTTATTTGCGTGTATATTCGAGGGGGAGCCCTGATTACTTCTATGCGGAGGTGTGGATGACCCTCCTGACCCTCCGGTTGGTGGTTGTTGTGGATCATTGATCTCTTCGTGTTGTTGCTGATCATTTGATTGAGTACTGTGGTTGCTGTGCTCATCCTTTATGATAATTCTTAGGCCACTGGCTGTTGAGTCAGGATCTGAGGCAGCATACGATGAACTTCGGCCTGGTGAATGAGGTTCAGAGTGCGGTGTTGTACTATGATCCATTAATGCCAACTTCGAGGCACTGGCCGCCGCCGCTGCTGATGAATTTAACGGCAATTGAGTGACTTTTCCCATAAACGAACGTATCTCCTCAAAATATGACTCCTCGGCAGGATTTTCACAGAAACGGCGTAGACCTCCACGTATGCGTTCGTTGAGACCCAAACCCATTGAAACTGCATCGGCTTCATGCTTCTTCAGATGGCGGTCGAGATTGGTTTGCTGGCCGAAACATCGTTCACAAATCTCACATTTAAATGGCCTCTCCTTGTTGTGGATGTTCCGCACATGACGTTGCAGGTTCGACGATATACTAAAGGAACGTTCGCAATATTTGCATTTGTAGGGTTGCTCGCCCGTGTGTGTGCGCAGGTGACGCGTCAAATTCGCCGACCGCGGGAATACCTTGCCACAAAATTTACACGTATAACGATCTTTTGATTTGTACAGATGATTGGCTCCGGCTGGAGCATTGGAACGATTAACCGCAGGTCTCTTTTGGCGATAATGGGGTGCATTGGTGGCGGTGTTTTGATTAGTGGGGGGCGTGGGTCCGCCAATGGCTGGACCATTTTGACTGAGCAGCAACGAATTGGCCAGACTTTCGGTTAGGGAATTTCTATTGGCGGTGGCAACATCAAACTTCAGATCTGCCATATTGGAATCTGCTTGGGCTATGTGAGGTGTGGTGGTGGTTGCCGTCACAGTGGTGGTATTCTTTTTCGTCTCTTTTCCAAGAGTACTGGCCGCCGCTGGTGTTGAGGAGAAAAACGGAAAATTGCTAACATTTGCAGCTGGATTATTGGCCTGATTTGGTCGTGGTAAAAATAAGAGATTACGATAGGGCAGAGGAGGCATTGCTTTGGCTATTGTCTCGAGCAGGGTAGGATGTAGGGCTGTTACAGGAAATGGCAGTTGTTCCAAATTAGTTGGCAACGATTTGGCTTGATCCCTCAAAACCCTTAGCATCTTTTTGCTATTCAAAGCTTCGAACTGTTCTTGCAGAGCTTGATTATTCTGTAGCAGGAAATTGTTGTTGTTGTTATTGTTCAGCTCATTTAATAGATGAAGATCCGTTGCCTTATCACCAGCAACGCCATCTTGTAGGACTCTGGAATTAGTGTTGGTATTACTATTACATTCGGAGTTGTGACAGGACTTGTCCATTTGACCGCCAGTTATCATTACCAAATTGCTATTCTCATCTTCCATCATTTCGGTGGTGTTGGAATCGCCATCTGTTCCGCCCTCACCCGTCGTTCCGCCATCGTGTTTCTTATGTGCCAATCTCAAATCTAAAGGTTGATCCGTGTGACCACGCCTTCTATCTTTTTTCAAATCCTTCTGTGTTTGATACAATGCCGTTAGGGCGGTGGTAAGGGCTGTGGCCGCTGTCGAACTATTGCTTCGGGCAGGTGATGACAAATCATAAGGTACATTCGAATTGTAGTTGTTGTAGGGCATAGAGCCTAGAATAGGGTAGACGGACCCTTGTTTGGGGCTAGGAAGCATTTTTCTTGGAGAATGATCTTTTTCTCTCATACTAAGTTTACGATAGTGTGCAGGAACCGCGGCATTCAAAATGTGGTTCTTGTCAACTTGTTTTTATTAATATTCTGATGAAATTATGACGAAATTTTGAACGATTTCTTTTTTTCAAATTGCTAAGAGTTTTTCGAAGATTCTTATTTACAGAGTGATTACAGTAAGTTTCTTTAGATTCTGAGCAAGGTTGGTTGGAACAAAATATCTGAAATGAAAAAAGAAAAAAATAAATAAATAAAAATAGTTATTACATATTTTTATGAAAACTGTTATTGGTATAATTTTGGGCTAAATATAGTAATTATGGAAGATGTAAACATCTTTAAATATGGAAAAGTAAATGGAGCTGGCTATAAACATATATTTAGAACAAGAATGTTCTAAAAATATTTCTGATGAAAGTTTGTTCTATTTTGCATTATTTTTAATTACAATTCAAAATTGCAAATTCTCTATCAATATTAAAAAATAAGTTTTTATTGCAAAATTTCATAGAACAAGAATTGAGCCTCAGGAATTCAACATCTGAATTCAATATGTATTAAATATCATTTCCTTAAGTGAGAATATCAATTTCCAATATTACAAATTAAAACTTTACAAGTTATCACTATAATTTCATGACCTCCAATATCTGGACGAACTGAGGTCAGCCATGCTCGTAACGAACTTTCAATATTGTTTCAATATTATAAATTAGAAAAAAAAAACAAAAACAAAACGATAACTAGAAATAGAATCGATATTTTGACACTACATCAAACAATTTACAACGATGAAAATTGTTATTAATTTCAATATTGCCACCGCACAAACATACACACACAAATTTACTACCGCCTTCTGGCATCCATTACCCCTCGATATAACATTGAAAACAAAAATAATAATAAAAACGTTGTTCAAATAAAATAATTATGTTTTACAATATTCATAACAGATATTCAAACACATTTAGAGCTGCTGGCTTTGTTGTCGAAACGAAAGAAGGCGTGGGGTTTCGGTGTTGAAATGTTATTGATTCTGTGTACATAAAATATTTGAATACACACTCTAGCAAATTGAGATAAAGTATATATTAGAATTATTTGTACATATGGCCAGATGTTTGTGTGTGTTTTTTTAATTTATTTCAAAATCAGAAGATGTTTTCTTCAAAGTATGTTGAAATCTACGAAGATATCGAAATACCAAAAAATTTAAAGAAAGAAACAAGTGTTTTGAAGACAATTAAATTACAACCTTCTTCAGATGTTTACATCAATATAAACAACCAGTTTTTTGCATACGACGTCTGTTCACAATATAATGTATGAAAAATTTAACATATTTTTCAATCTGAATCCCCTGTAATTTGTTTGCTCTATAAATTTTTTTGTGATATCTATACACTCTCATTAGGCCTATTTACACAGCAATTGGTCTTTGTAAAGGTCTGTGGTCTCTATAAAGACATGTAGTCTCTCTGCAGAACTGTTTAAAAACTTTCAATTGCTCTTAAATATACCTGTGGTCTCTCTGAAGCTAATAGAAAAGTTCCGGTCAATTTTAGGTACTTTGAATGCCAACCTCAAAACGACGTTTTCATTTGTTGAAAAGGACCACAACAGGCGTGGATTTTTTAAGGAATATTTTTTGAAAAGGGCCATAACAGGCGTGGATTTTTTAAAGAATATCTTTTTAAAAGGACCATAACAGTATATACTATGTTGGGGAAAAATAAATCCATTAGGCTGGTCGTCGAAAATGTCGATAAAATCCGAGAAATGTTCGAAGTTGCCGGCATGTTAGCAGTCGTAACGTCGCTAAAAATCGGCTATATCGACTGTTTTAAACCATTTTCCCAAAGCTGGATTCAAAATGAAGCTCGATGTTTGGGTGCCACACCAATTAACAGAAAAAATAGGATGGATCGTGGATGGTGAATGGAGATGAGAGATGGTACACATACGATAACCCTGTGCAAAAACTTCGGAAGCTTGGTTGCGAAGTTATAATGCATCCGCACCAAGCGATTATCATATTTTTGTTGTATTGCTAAATTTCTTTAATGGTAAAATATTGGTATCTAGGGAGGATTTTTTTTTTGCAAATAGAGAGCAGGACATCTATGAGAGGGACATTACGAAGTTACCTTTAAATCATACAACAAATTGGACATTTCGAAACATGTTAAATAAAGTCCTGTTGTTCCTATAAAAATAATGACTTTATTTTTCCCCAACCTAATATTTCAAGCACCTTCCCAAAAATTATTCATTTTGTTTCGGTTCATTGTCTGGGCATTTAACTATTCCCCATAGAAAAATTACTGTTACCGTTTTACTGGCACCAAAACGTAAGAGCTTTGAAATGGTGAAGTTGGCTGCCTGTAGCAGCTGCAGCAGCAACTACTGCATCTAATGATAATGCGTGAAATAATATTGAGAAGTATTTCCCCCCGCCACCTCAAAAAACATAAATTTATTCCAGCTAAATTAATATGGAAATAAAGCATGGAATCTGTGCTGCGGTTACAAAGTCAAAGCAGTTTCTAGTGCAATGATGGGAAAAATTCCCAAGGACCGGATGCAAAAACCAAAAAGAGTAGTATCATGACAAACAATTATCCGACATTTTGTAGAGGTTATCAAGCATTGTTTGTTCCGTTATTACCGTTTCAAAGACTTGTTAACCGTTTTAATGTTTGACAGAAATTCTTTGAAAGATACAAATCTAAACTGTTTAGTATCTACATAAATTTTACAATTAAGTTTAAGATCAAATATTACAAAATATTTCTTAGACAAGTTAACAAGAAGGTCAATTGATAAATATGTGGTTTATACCAAAACCTCTATAATGTTACAAAAAATCTAATTCGTGTTAATATTTTGGTATCCTCATACATGGGAGGATGCTATTTACTTTGCTTGTTGCAAAATATCTTATTACATTTTTGGAGGAATATTCCCCAAAAAATATGTTTCCACAAACGATAAACATTATCCACTGGAAATTCCAATTTAGGAATTATTGTTGTGCATAAAATTCTCCTTTGTGGATTCATCATTTATATTACGACTTAGAATTACATACAATGGGCATTTTAACCTATGGACCTAAGTAACATAGTCCATAATTTATTTGTGTATTTTTGTACACAAATAATCCCACTGCACTGCATATTAGCCTGGCCACACATATTTCGCAATATAACCCTCCAAAGAATTCACATTCATCCATCTATCCATCCAAAGGCCGTTCATGTGGAACATTGTTTCAATTCTTGAATGTGCAGAGAGACCCAATTCACAGTTTTGTCAAATTAAACATTTAATTTGTTGGTGTGTGGAGTTTTTGTTTTCGGAAAAATATGTGTTCTTCAGTTGGCATTGTTACTATTATTATTATTGTCGTTGTTAGTGGCTGTGGGATTCCTCGGAAGCTCGTGGCGGCCATTTGTTGGTTAGTTAGTCAGTTGATTGTTGTCTTTGACGGTTCTCCGTTTGTCTACTGTTATTGTCAGTGTTAAATTGTGTATTTAGGGTTTCTGGGTGCTGCTCGTAAAAACAAAACAGTTGACGGTTGATGCCGTGGCCATCCGAAAAATTGTATAAACAATACCTTTTGTTGAACAAAATTTTTTTTATTGAAATTCTTTTCTTGTTTCGTATTTTTTCCCATCCACCCAACCTCCTTCTTAAAAATTTGAGGTTATTTTGTAATCGTAATTGTTTTAAAACATTTGTCATTTGTCTTTTATTTAAGGTCATTTAAATGGTGGCGTACTTTTAGCAACAGAATTGTAATAGAATTTAATGGAAGGATTTTTTTAAATTTATTGCACTTATATACCGACCATAACTGCAATTGTGTATAAAAGCTAATTAGATGCTATGGGTCATTTATATTAGAATTTTGACACACATATACGTAAGGAAGGTTTCGTTTATTTCAAACAATGAATCTCGCCATGGAATGTATGTTTTCGACTAAATTTATCAACAATTAGGATTTGTATGTGTGTGAGCCCCAAACGAAACTACAATAGACCCTGTGGGTCTTCGATGACGAACCAAACACAAAGAAAGTTGTTGGTATGGGAACATATTGGAAGCAGATAGTCGCCTATTTCTTCGGCAAAACGGATCATGTGACTATTGGTCTGCTTGAGCTACATAAAAGGCTTAGTCTGAGTGGAACACCTCAATTTGTTTGCCCGAAATTTTCGGAGAAATTAAAAAACGAAAAAGATAGGATAAATCTTTGTGCACCAGACAATGTGTGCTCCCACATACCGCCTCAAATAAGCGTCTTTTTGACCCGTCAAAGGGCAGAATTTATGGAAATTGTAGGATCGACAATTTTTTTTCAGTGTATGTATATTAGAAATAATTTCCATATAACATCATTTTGATTTTTTTTATAAATTTTACCAAAAAATTGTAATTTTTCTTAGAAAATAGATGAAAAATAGTTAAAATCGAGATAGACCCATGGTTCCTTCACCAAAGTTGCTTAGAATTGTCCATAGAATCATCCTAGGGGCTGGATTTAAACGAAAAAAAAAATTGGCCGACCCTAATGTATAGGGTTTCGATATTCGGAATTCGAAGTAGATTACCATTCTGGCTATATAACTCTTGAAAAGAGTTATATATACGCACATAAAGTAATATCCATCGTGCTGTGTGAACGACTAAAGCCAATGGTCAATGATATGATTGGATTTTAGTAATACGGTTTCAGTCCTGGCAAATCCACCATAGACCTGATTTTCACACCGCCACAAATCCTAGAAAACACCCACGAAAAATATATTGACACATTCCACTACAAAGCCGCATTCGATAGCCCCGCTCAGAGGTGTTTAAAGTCATGTCTGCGTTTGGCATTCTGCAAAATTAGTACGACTATGATATAACTTTATAACATTAAATGGCACAATGTCAGCAGTTAAAGTCGGAAAGGACCTCTCGAAGTCATTCAGTACCGAACGAGGATTCAGACAAGGTAACAGTTTGTAATGTGACCTTTTTAACTTCCTGCT